TTATTCGTAAGTGCCACGAAGTATAAACAACCCAAATATCTACCCACTGATAAGTGGGTAAACAAAATGTGGTGTTATCTACACAATGGAATATTTAGTCGTTAAAAGGAATGAAGAACTGATAAACGCTACAATATGAATGAACCTTGAAAACACGCTAAGTGCCAGGCATAAAAGGCTGCATGTGGTATGATTCCATTTATATGAAATGTCTAGAACAAGGAAATCCACAGAGAGAGAAAGTAGATTAGTGGTTGCCAGGGACTGGGGTAAGAGGAGAATGGAGAGTTGACTGCTAATGGATATGCGATTCCTTTTAGGGGTAATGAACATGTTCAAGAATTAGATGGTGATGGGGGTTGCACAACCTGTGAATATACTAAGAACCACTGAATTGTTCACCTTAAAATGATGAATTATGGTATGTGAATTATATTTCAATAAAAAACCCAAATATCAACAAAATATAATACAAAATAAAAACAACATATCTCAATAAAAACAAATATCAACAGAAAAGATTTATGATATCCCTTACCATATCAAAGCAGGAAGGGATCTTAAATACCATCTGGTCTAACTTGATCATTTTAGAGAGAAGGAAATTGAGGCCCAGAAGGGGGAAGTGACTTCAAAAGTGGCACAGCCGGTCAGCTGCCAGGTGAGTATGGGGGCCCACGACCTCTGTTGCCAGTACAGTGCTTTTTCTTTTTTCTAAATTCTTTAACACATATTAAAATTTTCAGTCATATACAAAAATAGAACAAATAGCACAAGCTCTCTGTATCTATTACCCAGCTTTAATAATTGTCAGTACACAACCAGTCTTATTTCATCTATGTCCTCACCCACTTTCACCCCTCCCAGGTTATTTTGAAATGTACCTCAGACATCATATTATTTGTACATAAATGCTGTATTATGTGCATGTTTTCATATATTTTTACTTGTATGATCTATTTCCCACATACATACATATGCATACAAAAGAAAACAATAAATGACCTCTCCAAAAAACAAAGAGAAAGATAGAAGGAATGGTGAGCAAATGAACTGGTAAAACGTTAAATAAATCTAAACATGCATTCACTGTGTAACTGTATACGGATTACACTGATGATGAATATATAAAGAAAGTGAAACTATAGCAATTCACAAAATAGAAGGTAAGAAAGGGTGGTGGTATATAGAATCACAGGGTGCTCAAGTTCTTGTGTTTTTTCAGAAGGAGGTAAGAGATGCTGAGTAACATGATCAACTCTTGCACTAGAACACATGTACAACAATGTTCATAAATAGAACATTCTTTGTAATAGCAAGAACTGGAAACAACCTAATTATGCATCAGTAGAGGAATGGGTATATAAAATATGGTATACACATACATTGTAATACTGTGTGTCATTAAAAGGAATAAATGATTTATGCAGATCATTATGAGAATCTTTTTTTTTTTTTTTTAGCTGAACCATCCTGCTACCTGCTACCTGTTGGCAGCTCAGCAGCAGCTCAGCTCAGGCTGGAAATCGAACTCTTGAGTGAGCTCTTAACCAACTGGTTGGCCCTATGCAGATTATTATGCACAGATCACAAATATACATGGACTAAACAAGTTGCAAAACAACATGAACAGTATAATGACATTGATTTGAAGTAAAAGGAAAAACTTAATTGCTCATGGTATGGAGCAGGAGAGGAAATAGAATTAAGTGGTGGATTTTTAGCTACATTCATTCATATAGTTTTATTTCCTTGGAGAAAAAAAGATGAGGCACATATGACAAATGTGTAACAATTATAAATATTGGATTGGGAGAATAGAGACGTTTGTTATATTATTTGTGTTTTCTATATTATCTGTGCTTTAATTTTTAAAAAATCTTATAAATTTCTGAAAATTATGTACAAATATATATTTTTAAGGAGAATTAAGGAGTCTGAAGAGCAAGCTATAATTTTAGTCTAATGTCATCTATGTCTTATATATAGTCCCTGCTAAGATGTGGGTTTTATTGGAGCTATGCACCTGCTCCATGGAGGGACACCCACCATTTTGCTCTCCATTCTTCCATTTCTAAATTCTGACAAAACTGTTCCACATTTTCAGAATTCCTGTCCTCATGAATTTAACTCCAGAATAGAATTCAGGTAGGTTAGAAAGGAACATTCTATTTGAAGTAAAGTCAAAGATAATATCTTGAATTAAGGAAAAATGTTTATCTAGAATTTATTTTTGATATTTACCATTTTAACAGTCATAGTAGGAATAGATTCTGTTTAAGATGTGTAGGTTTGTAGCCAAACATGAAGCAGACCAAAGGCACTGAAGAAACAGACAAAGCTGCAGAGACTGGACCTAACAGGGCAATATTTAGGGGTTATGTCAAGTGCAGCTATAGTTAGGGCAGATGTCAGCTCTGAGGACAAGGGACAAATGATTATTGGCAGGTGGATACAACAACTGGGTTAAGAGTGTTAGTTGTAGGGTGACCTGAAAGGTAAGGCTGTGGCAACAGCTAATTGCTAATGACCTGACCATCTATGTCAGGATCCCAGCTGGGATACAGAGCCAACATCCTGGGAGAGGGATTTTGTAATGACTAGTCAATGCAATACAGCTAATCCTAGGAGCTTAGGAAAAGTTTTTGCATTGGTCAGGACTTGTTTGCTTCCTACTACTGGAAACTCAGCTTACATAATTGAGAGCCATTGACTTTAGATGCAATGGGATCCAGGAGTTTAAATGATGTACTCAGAACTCTTTTTCACTTGCCATCTGTTAGTCAGGATTGCTATAGTCATGCTGTGTAACAAGTAGTTCCAAAAATCTCAATGCTGTGTAACAAGTAACCTCAAAACCTCAATGGCCTACTACAAACACTTATTTCATGCTCACAGGTCCACAGACTGGCTATGATTAAGCTAATATTAACTCGGCTTAGTTGGGCCTAGCTGGACTCCAGGCTTCAAGTTGGCTACAGATCTGCTCTCTGTCTTCATCCTGGGACCACAGCAGAAGGATGAACAGCTACCTGGGCAGTGGGCAGAAGGTCTATAATGGTTGGTGGAAACTCTTAAGGCCTCAGCTTAGAGTGGGCACACTGGTCATTTCCATCACAATCTATTGGTCAAAACAAGTGATATGGCTAAGTCCAGAGTCAATGGGCAGGGATGTAAATTCCTACTCTCTCTCATGGGAGGTACTGCATCACATGGCAAAATATTAGATAAATAATGGATGATATATAAATTCATAGATAGATGATAGTAGAGATGATAGAGGATAGATAGATAGATAGATAGATAGATAGATAGATAGATAGATAGATAGGCAGGTAGATATTTCAGGGAGACAGTGAAAAGTTGAAAGCAGTAATCCAATACACCACACTATCTCTGAACTTTGTCTCTGCTTGGCTTTTCCCCACATGTAAGCTCTGTTGCCAAGAAAGATGGCTGTTAGCAGTCCCTGTCTCACTTTCTCCAAGTTTAGCAGTCCTAATGGACAGAGATCATTTTTCCAGGTAACTTTAGTATTTTTTTTTAAGCTGAGCCATACTGCCGCCTGTTGGCAGCTCAGCGTCTGCTCAGCTAGGGCCAGGAATCGAACCACTGTTGCTCAGAGCTCAAACTCTTGAGCGAGCTCTTAACCAACTGAGCCACTCAGCCGGCCCAACTTTAGTATTTTTTAAAAAGTCTAAGGGCTCTGATTGGTCTGGTGTGGGTTCTATGCCTATCCCTGAAGCAGCCACCACAGCCAAGTCCTCTGACTATCCAGCCTAGGTCACACACCCACACTTTATTTACCTGGCGATTAGGAGGGAGATGGGCTCAGCCTTGATAGCCTCATTAGGATCACATAAAACCAGTGAGGGGTGCCTAAAGGAACCACTACTGGACAGACAAAGCACTACAGTCTCTAATCTCAGCAGGAAGCTAGAAACCTAGACAGGGAAACCAAGTAAATGCCCAGTCCTATGGCATCAACATGAGAACTAGGGAGGGAATGGGAGGCCCCCAGGTACCAGAGTGAAAGCTGCCAGATGTAAGAAACATACAAACCTGTAGAGAATTTTTATGTCAAGCGGGGCATACGCTTGGAAGCAAGATCTCAACAGACTGAAAAAAATGCTTCCAAGAAATGACAGTTTGCATCTTCTTTTATGCATTTGGAATTCAGAAGGGAAGGTTAAGGAAGGTAACATGAAGGTGGGAGAAAGCAAGGTGCAGATCAAATTACAGGATAGTTAACCAGATTCTGTTCTCGCTGGAGGGTGGGTGGTCACCCTTTAGAACAGCCGTTCTCAACCTTTCACAGGGGTCGCCTAAGACCATTGGAAAACACATATTTTCGATGGTCTTAGGAACCGAGACACCGCTCCTCTATCCATCTCCAGGCTCACATGCAGATACGCCCACATACGAGTACCTGGCGACCCCTGTGAAAGGGTCGTTCGACCCCCAAAGGGGTCGCGACCCACAGGTTAAGAACCGCTGCTTTAGAAGGAGGGGTCTGAAAAGAGGTATTTTAGAGGCATTAACCTGGATGCACAGAAGCTATGGACAGGGCTGCTTAAAGCAAAGATAAACCTTTTACCAAAGAAGTTATATGCCTGGGGCATGACTACCCACTCTGACCCGCCCAGCTAGGAATTTATAGTCAGATCACTTTGTGAGGTTGCTTTCCATAGACCCTCTTTTATTGTCCACACAGCAGTGGACTTAGGCTGAAGCTTCTGTGTTCTTCTCCCTATTGTGGATCTGGGATGGGCCTTGTGGAGACTTGGAGCTCTAGGAACATCCAGCTCTAGGAGCTAGAAGAAGTAATGGGAGAAAGAACATTGTCTGTTTAGCTGTATTGGTAAAGCTAAAATGTTTTTTAAAAGGTGAAACAGTAAGTCCATCTGAATCTCAAGGATAAGTTATGCTGCTCCGACTTCAAGATTAACATACTGGTGCTGGTTGAGAAACTTGAGGTAACAAGTGACCTCTGCACTTACCGAGGAGCGATTACAGAGAGGCCACGTGGCCGACCTTTCACGGGGCGTCAGGTATGCTGGCCCTCTGCAGACTCATGACTCAGAACACTGTATGAGGCATTGTCTGATAGCATGCCAACAACTCCATACTGAAAAAAAAAAAAAATAGGTAACTTAGTTGAAATGAGAAACGTAATGAGTAAAGTCTTTTTAAATGAGATGTAAGTGATATAATCTCTTAAATTAATAGAATGAAGTCTAAACCTGTAGTGATTTTTTTCTTTTTAAAGATTGTATTGGGGAATTGGGGAAGGTGAACAGCCAAGTTGTTCTTCAGTCTTAGTTGTGGAGAGCACAGCTAGCTCAGCTCCAAGTCAAGTTGCCATCCCACCGCCTGTCGGCAACTCGCGGCCACTCAGCTCAAGGTACCATGTTCAATCTTAGTTGCAGATAGGCGTAACACACCATCCCATGCAAGAGTCAAACCGGCAACCTTGTTATTGGGAGCACGTGCTCTCACCAGCTGAGCCATCGTTGGCAGCTCAGTGGCAGCTCAGCTTGGGCACAGCTCACTGGCCCATGTGGGAATCGAACCGGTGACCCTGTTGCTCAGAGCTCGTGTTCTTAACCAACTGAGCCACTTGGCCAGCCCTCTGTAGTGATTTTTAAATTACGTGCTCCATAAAAATATGGTGAATGAATGAACAAATCATTGGTATTTCCTCCATTGACTAGTATTTTGGAAGACCATACCATTAAGGTGAAAGAAGGGAGGATAAAAATAGAGGAGAATGAATAAGGGTGAGAGGGTGCCCACCCAGGGGCAGTGTATAGAATTGCATGCAGTAAAAACAGAAAGGCAGATACTATTCAGATCAAGAGTGAGTAAAGAGAAGATGATAACAAGGCTTCTCAAGATGAAGAACAACTGGCTTCCAGCAAGGTCTGCAGGGAAACTTGAAAAGGGCCTGTGGGTCCCCTTCCTGACTTGGTTTATTCTCCTTCCTTCAGGAGCTGGTTTCCCTTCACTATCAAATTCTCAACCCTGGGAAGGGATGTGATATTAGCACTTGCCTCTCCAAATTCTTCCAGAAAGAGTCAGATCCAAGTGTGGAAGAAGCCAAATATCTCTTCAGGCCTGTGTTTTGCAGATACAAGTATGTAAGACTCCAGATTGAGCCCTGTTTTTTCTGTTAACATTAGAAAAAATAAGATGTGCTGAGAGGTTTTTTGGTCTGTGAAAGCAAAAGGTTGTGATGTTTCTAGCATTTTAGCAGAGATTATTTGAAGGTGATACAAACAGAAAATAATGTGTAAAGGATTCAAATTGTCCCACTTGTTATAATAGTCTACTTCTCCCCAACTCTCCTCCTAAGTCACAGTTCCTATTTGCCAGCCAGATAAACTACAAGTGAGTTAAACATCTTTTAGACAAGGATCAAGCCAGATTAAAAATATTTTATCTAGGTTACCCAGTCAATATTGGGTGTTTCCATTTTTCCCTCCCCTGAGTCTGACAGCAGTAATATTTCCATGACCTTAGGTTGGGGGCTGATTCTGTGGTGTGCTGAGTGGGTGGCTCAAGGTCCAGAGGCCAGGCCTCCGCTGGGCACACCAGAGGGGTCCTCTCATTTGTGGAGGCGGGTCGGGTGACATGTCACAGGACACATTGTCTCTCACTCAGACTGTTAATTCAAAAGTCAGAGCAGAATTAAGTGGGCTGATCAGCCTGGGCCAAGCAGGGATTGGGCCATCGCTATAGAAAGTTACAAAACCAGTGTTTGGCAGGCGTAAGGAAACACTAATATCTCTTCCAGATACCAGACGCCCTAGTTCTGTTCAAAGTCTGAAGAATAGGACTCTTCCTAAAGCCCAGAGTTTGAGACAAACACCACTTACACATATCTTCACACTGTCTTTGGAAAGAAATTCAGTTAGGACACTGGTGAAAAGGTCAAAGCAGTGAAATGCCATCCACCTGAATGTTAGTTAGGAAGGGGTGTAGCTCTGCATGGAGAGTGTGGAGGGAGGGTGTTCTGCCAGTTGCAGCTTTTCTCTGGGCTGCCATCACAGAAAGCAGAAAGGGGTTTACTGGGTTTTTGCACCTTGCGTAAAGGAAACCTGAATAAGAATCACTGCCTTCCCCTCATAAGAGTTGTTTGTTGTCTTTAGTTTTATATACACAGAGGATGCCAAAAAAAGTATACACATTTTAAGAAAGGAAAAAAGTGTTTTTTATTGTTAAAATTGTAATAATATATACCGATAACAAAAGATGAATACAAGTAATGTATACACATTTCTTTGGCACCCCCGGTATATATATATATATATATATACTCGTATGTATATGTGTATGTATGTTATCATATTATATCATGTTGTGTTATGTATGTGTTGTGAGTAATGTGTGTGTATATGTATACATATGAATGTCAAAGTTGTATGTCACATTCTTGGCAGAAAATTTATAGGAAAAAATAAAGGAGGGTTTGGTGAAACATCATGAGGCAGTTAAGACTGGTTAAGCATTGTACCTTTAAATGTACAGCTAAAGGTTTTAGGCTTATCAGGATTGTCAGTCAGCTGGGTGGGTAACTTGAAAAAAAAATTGTGTTTAAATATACATAACATAAAATTTTCCATTTTAACCATTTTTTCTCTTTTTTTCATTATTATTTTTAGTTTCAGGTATACAAAACAATGCAATAGTTATTCTTTTCACCTTCCACAAAGTAACAACCCCCCTCCTCCCATCCACTGCCCTCCCACCCCCGATATCATACATATCTATTACAATTCCATTGACTTTATTCCCACACTATAATCTACATCCTATGACTATATATGTATTAAATTATAGTTGACATATAATATTATTCAACGGCAGCTTCAGATGTACAGTGCAGTGGTCAGGCCTCTACACCGTCTATGAAGTGGTCTCCCTAACAAGACATGAGTCCATCTGACCCCCTAAAAAATATTTACAACATTATTGATTATATCCCCCAGACTGTCTTTTCTATCCCTGAGGCCATATTGTAGTTACCAATTTATTTTGTCTCGTCCCTTCACCTTCTCCCTCATCCCCACTCCCGCCCTATCTAACAATCATCAATTTTTCCTCTGTGTCTCTGAGACTATTTCTGTTTACATTATTCATTTATTCAGTTCTTTACATTCCACATATAAGTGAGATCATGTGGTATTTGTCTTTTCCCGACTGACTTATTTCACTTAGCATGATGTTCTCTAGGTCCATCCATATCGTTGCAAATGGTATGATTCCCTTCTTCTTTATAGCTGTGTAAATGTACCACAGTTTTTTAATACAGTCGTCTACCAATGGACATTTCAATTGTTTCCAAGTTGTGGCTATTGTAAATAGCCATGCAATGAACATAGAGGTGCATATATTTTTTTCAAATTAGTGTCTTGGGTTTTTCTAGATAAATACCTAAGAGTGGAATTGCTGGGTCATAAGGTAGTTCCATTTCCAGTTTTTTGAGATACCTCCATACTGATTTCCATAATGGCTGCACCAGTCTGTAGTCCCACCAGCAGTGCACCAGGGTTCCCTTTTCCCCACAACCTCACCAGCACTTGTTGTTTGTTGATTTATTAATGATAGCCATTCTGACTGGGGTAAGGTGGTATCTCATTGTGGTTTTAATTTGCATTTCCCTAATGATTACTGAGGTTGAACATTTTTTCATATACCTGTTGTCCATCTGTATGTCCTCTTTAGAGAAATGTCTCTTCATATCCTCTGCCCATTTTTTAATTGGGTTGTTTATTTTTTGGTGTTGAGTTGCATGAGTGTTTTATAAATTTTGGATATTAACCCCTTATCAGATATATTGTTGACACATATCTTCTCCATTCATTAGGCTTCCTTTTTGTTTTATTAATGGTTTCCTTTGTTGCGAAAAAACTTTTAAGTTTGATGTAATCCCATATGTTCATTTTTTCTTTTATTTCCCTTGCCCATGGGGATGTATCAGTAAAAATATTGCTCAGGGTAATATCTGCAAATTTACTCCCTATATTTTCTTCTGGGAGTTTTATGGCTTCAGGTCATCCACTTAAGTCTTTAATCCATTTTGAATTTCTTCTTGTATATGGTATAAGGAGGTGGTCTAGTTTCATTTTTTTGCAGGTGTCAGTCCAATTTCCCAGCACCATTTATTAAATAGACTATCTTTACCCCAATGTAAATTCTTGCTTCCATTGTCATAGACTAACTGTCCATATATGCATGGATTTATTTCTGGGCTCTCTATTCTGTTCCATTGATCTATGCACCTGTTTTTATGCCAGTACCATACTGTTTTGATTACTGTAGCCTTGTAGTATGTTTTGATGTCTGGTAGCATGATACCCCTGAGTTTGTTCTTATTTCTCAGGATTGCCGTGGCCATTCGGGGTCTTTTATGGTTCCATATAAATTTTAGGATTATATTTTCTATCTGTGAAAAATGCCCTTGGTAGTTTGATAGGAATTGAATTGAATCTATATATTGCTTTAAGCAGTATAGGCATTTTAACTATATTAATTCTTCCTATCCATGAGCATGGTAGGTATTTCCATTTATTTGTATCTTTGATTTCTCTCTTCAGTGTCTTATAATTTTCTGAGTACAGATCTTTTACTTCTTTGGTTAAATTTATTCCTAAGTATTTTATAGTTCTTGAAGCAATTGTAAATGGAACTGTTTTCTTAACTTCTCCTTCCGATAGTTTATTATTGGTATATACAAATGCAACTGATTTCTGAATATTGATTTTGTATCCTGCTACCTTACTGAATTCATCTATCAGTTCCAAAAGTTTTTGATGGAGTCTTTGGGGTTCTCTATATATAGTACCATGTCATCTGCATATAATGACAATTTTACTTCCTCCTTAGCGATTTGGATACCTTTTATTTCTTTTTCTTGTCTGATTACTGTGGCTAGAACTTCCAGAACTATGTTGAATAAAAGAGGAGAAAGTGGACAGCCTTGTCTTGTTCCTGACCTTAAAGGGAATGGTTTTAGCTTTTCCCTATTGAGTATGATGTTAGCTGTGGGTTTATCATAGAAGGTATTTATTATGTTGAGATATGATCCCTCTATTCCCACTTTGCTAAGAGTTTTTATCATAAAAG